TAAATTTGCTTTGAGTTCTATGATCAAGAAAAGTAGCCGTGTTTTCTCCTACAGGTATTCTTCTGCTTTTGCAACACTACCTTAAACCAGTATAACAATCCACGATCACAACAAACAACATTTTGTTTTCTTGGCTGTGTTTTAAAGTGGAACGCYGTTTTTGCAAACTTCATCAAGTCAGAGTAGATAGGTCTAAACTGCCTGTCTGTGATAACAGGTCTGTGGGTCGTAACCATATTCAGCTAAATGAAAAGTTGTGAAGTCAAAGGAATTCTGTGGTAGCCACCCAGTTACTGAATATGACACAGTAATAACACTCTGCACAAAGGCTCTTCACACAAAAACTCTGTAGTCTGTATAAGCGTTTTTGTGTGTGTTAACATGGAAATTTCCACTACCGGCTGGGAGGGAGACACGCAGGCAAGTCTAATGGCAGGTACTTGGAATAGGAGAAGTGCAGATTCTTTTTCTTGTCTGTGGTGTTTGTTTTGGTTTTTCCTTGAATATGGCAGAAACCAAATGAAATACAGTGGATTTGCCGACACCATGCAGGACAAGCCCCAACTTTCTTTCCCCGACTCTTTTTGGGGAGGTGGAAAGGGGGTTATTATTGAGTTATCTTTATGCAATCAAAAATGTGTACAAATGCCGTACATAAATCCACATTCACTGCCACTTAGCGAAACATTTTTACAGAACTAACAGACCCTTTCACCCACACCCCTTCATCAAAATAGAACTGCCATATGGAATCGTCAAAGTCTTAGGAAAAACTGCTGAGAAATCCAAGAGCTCCACAAGTTGTCTGAAATGTTCCACTGGCTTCTAACATTCTCAAATATCAGGCTGATGTGCTCTTATAGCATCTGTGTAAAGACCCCAGAGTCCATGTGGTCCAAAAAATACTAATCCAGTTCTCTTAGCCATAGTCAGAACTTCTTTTTACTGTTTTGGTTGCATAAGTTAAATCARTTTAAAATTTTAGGTAATGAAGTTACCGACTGGTGTGTTAGTTCAATAAAGCCTTTGTAATGCAGTTTGTGTAGTAAATGTCAGTGAACTAACAAAAGAAATGTCCATTCAAAAACTGGTTTATCAGGTGGTTCCACTCAATTGGGTTGAGTAAATGTAATGTTTACTTGTGTTACTTGAATACATCTTTTTAGTTACTCAGTTCAGTTGAGTGGAACCACATTACATAACTTGGTTAATTAAATTCAATGAATCAGTTTTTCTCATTCAAAATATATTGTATACTATATTGACCCCTCAACATCAGGAATATGGTTAAATAGAGTTGTCTCTGCTATTTTATGCTTTTATTCTTCGCTTGGGGATTATAGCTTGAGTTCTGTCTGTTYGTTGGGATGTTCTGGTCGCTGTCCAGCCTCTTACTGAAACTCCCAACAAGCTCAGCCTCCCTGTGTCCTGAACGAGACCTTTTTTTATGCTTGTGTCGACATGTTTATGTGCTGTCATAGTTTATGTGTAGAAAGCAAGAAGTCACCGTTGTGCTGGGAAGCATGACGAATTTGCAGACCATACTTGTGGGAGGTTGTAATGGAAACTCAAAAAGAAGTACACAAACAAAACAAGTAAAGCACTTTGTTTTTTATGTTTTTTTTGTTTGTTTTTGAACTATCCTCATTAGAGAGTGAGTTGAGTAAAATAAATTTATTATGTTTTGCCCTAATATTTACCTTCAATGTCTATATTAAAGTTAAAGAAACCACAAATATTAGCACAAATATTTAGCTTCCTTTGTAACTTTCACAGTTTTAATTTCCTACTGGATTTCACATAACAAAACATTGCCACTTCATTGGAAGTCTTTCATTTTATTATTATGTTAGAACCACCTGAAACATTTCTATTTGCAACAAAACCCTCAGGAGAGAAACAGAACGCTTGTGGGAAAATGTTGCACCTTTGCAGTGGTTCTGCTCAGAATGATTTTCCATGTTTACTGCAGAAGTCATCATGGAAGAAATATGACAGTCYGGGKTTTTTTTTTTTTTTACCTGTTCCTGCCAAGTTATATAACTTGGTGGTTAAAGTGTTATCCTGTGGAAGCGAGACTTATAAAAAGTTGCAAAAAACAACTGTTGTTGTCTGCTGTAAGTTCTATATACAGGCATTTTTCTGTTAGGATGGTCAATCCCAGCCAGGAAACCAAAGGTGACTGGGTGGCGTCTGTGGCTGCCTCATCATCCATCCATCCATTATCTTTTACCCACTTCTTCCTTTCAGGGTCCTGGGGTCGGTCACTGGTGCCCATATCCAGCACCCTCATTGTGATGAAACATTTTGTTTAAGTTCAGTTTTAGCTTTCTTCTTCTCTCAGAAACCTCGTTCCTTTGCTGTTAAGTGTTTGCAATCCCATTACATTTTGTAAACAGCATTTATTAAAATGACAATACTGGTAAGGGAGGAGACAAAAGATAGAAATGTTTTAATTTTGCCATTCATGAAATATTTTACTGTTACAAGTGGTGGGGAATTATATTTCTTTTTGGAGGAGCCCATGAGGGGAACAAAGTGCTTTGGTTGGAAGGTCAAATTTGAAATTCATTGACCCTAAGTGTGACAAGCAGACTTATGTCTTCAGTTCGGTCCAAAGTCTAATAAACACTGAGGAAAAACACTGCCTGGTTCACATTCATGACCTGAAATCTGCAGCCATCCATGTGCTTGTTTACATGGTRTTATTTTGTACTTTCAGCAGCTTGTAGTCAGGAACAGAGAAGGGTTCTCTGACTGAGCTCTCCATGTTCAGTTCCAGCGTGACGCTCTCTGAGGACAACAGTGGCTCTTGCATAGCCAAGTCTAGGTCCACAACTGGGCCCCTTTGAGGCGGTCTGATGTGATGTTTGCACAGATGTGTGGCTCCAAAGCTGMGAGGCCAAACCCCCCTTACCCCTCTGGTGGTCTTGACCCCAGTCCGGCTCTGAAACTGAGCCTCTTTTGGCCKCAGTCCCATCGTGGGTGACATGACCTGAAGGGACAGAATCGGGCCTCTGGGGCTGTTTGTGGCAGAAAGTAATGTAAGGTTGTCATTTCAGCTGTGCCKTGAAACAAACTACCCACAATGCTCAGGGGTATAATTTAACTAAAGCATAGCTTGACTAAAAKGCATTAAGTACTACTTGATTATTATTGTTGTTATTGTTTTAGCTAAGTGTGGCTCAATGTTTCCTGGTTCACATTTGGGCCACACTTGATGTTATGATCACTGGAATTGTCTGAACATTTTATATCATGGCTAATTATAAATGTATTTTTTTTATATAAAGCAATAAGGTTTTAGAACCTAAACATTTTATTATTTTAGTACATCATTATTTTGGTATTGAAGCATTTTTGATTTTGCTTAAATAAAAAAGTTTTGCTCCTCAGTGCCCACCGTCCTGCATGTTTTAGATGTCTGTTGCTCCAACATTCATATCTTAAATCATTAACAGGCTTTAGTTGATCTAAATGAACAGGTAATTTATTTCAACCAGGTGAGTTGGAGCAAAGTCACGTCTGAAAAAGGGAGGTGTTAAAGCTGCTTGTTTTTTTATCCAACTAAACACATAATTTCATTGTTTCCCCTGTTTTATAATTTATCACACTTTTCTATTACTTCTGTCATCTGTAAATATAATCTGAGAAAACAATTTGTCCCATAAAACCTGTACTGGCTCTTGTTAAATATACACCAGCTGCCTTCTGCTTGCCAAAAGCTACTTGGTCAGCAATAATGAACTTGAGTAAACATCCTGGCTAATGTTTAGAATTTRAATCACTTGTTTCAGATGATTATGAAGAAGTATTGCTGAGAATCTGGGAAATGAACGAGCAAATGTTTTGCTTCTCTCTCGCTGTAGGTCGGCCGGCAGTTGGGTCGTATGGTTAACACATGTACAGTGTTTTCAGTTTTGTTATGAACTTTCTTGCCTGTTTATGAGGCCAAATGTTTCCAGTTTAGTCTTGGCTGACAGACAGTACAGAGTGTCCCACATTTGACATCCTGCTAAGCTTGGTTGTGAAAAAAAAAGAAAAGAAAAGAAAAGAAAGCTTTCATTTTTGCATAAAATATTTTTGGCTCATTTGCTTTGATTGCACTTCCAATAAAAGTTTCACCGTTTACAAGTTACTACTGCTTCCCATGGTGCTCCTTTAACATTACTTGGATGACTTATTGCATTTTATAGACTGTTTTGTAACACTGATTCTGTTGTGTGTTGCAGGAATTCAAGAGGCTACGGAGTGCTCAAAGTGTAAAAATGACTGGGCATTAAGGGCAGCCATCTCTCTCCTCTATGTGCTCTGTGCCCTGCTCACAATAGCAGTGGCTGTCCTTGGATACAAAGGTGAGTTAAAACCATAAATAAAAGCTTGTTTTTTGTTCAATCTGTTCATTTTTTATTATTACTGCTGCATAGTTTAAAATAATTTCATAACTCCAGGTACGTGTAACAACAGATTCAATATGTCAAATTTTAAAAAAGTAAATAAATCCACACTTTTGGAGCACTAAATCAATAAACGCAAACTTGTCAGAACTATCCAGGTATAACCTGGTCCAAAGGCAGCAGAAAGTTTCACAATGGCTTTATTGGAAATTTTACAAGTTTGGATTAAATCAGAATCACACCTTTTAAGTGATGTCAGGATTATTTTGGTTTTGGGTCTGTGTTGGCATGGAGCCCATGTGATTTTGATGGTTTGCCTCTAATCTCTACCAGATGACCATGCGGGGACTATGCCAGTTTAACAACACAGAGGGGGTTTTATGGTTCGGTAGCAAATTGGTGTCTCATGGACCACAGATTGACTCACAAATGACTGCACATGCCAAAATCAGTTTCACTTTGTAGGAAACCAAAGTTGGCTGGACTGCATTGGATTTTTCATTTGTCTTCTTTTTTTTTAACTGCACAAAATGATTGACCTGCTCGGTCGGAGCATTGTTTATGTTGGCCACTATGTCACTAAGTAGCTGCGTCTTAATTCAGGGGGTTTAGCCTATCATACGTGGGTCCGTAGGCTGTCTGTGTAGGCTGCAAAAACGGCTGTGAAATGAAATGGTCTAGTCCAGTGGTTCCCAACCTGGGGGGCACTGGGGTGGGGGATAATATGCCAGCTCAGAGGTCGGCATAACCATTGTTTAGGTTCGGACAACCAGATCCCGCCTCCTTGTTGTAAAGTTGTCCTCTGCGACGGGTGACCATCATTTGTAAAAATGAAAGGAGAAAAAAGAAACATTTAGATTTTAAACGGACGGTTCTTTCAACCAATAGAGAGAACCACAGTCAAAGTTTTACTTAATCAGACCAGAGGAGGGTGGGTCGTGCTGTCTGACTGACAGCAGGTGCGCGCGCAGCCTTGAGTCACTCCACAAAGGCTGCCCACGCATCGCAGCATTCAAACAGTTTGTATGTCAAGCGTTTACAACATTTCACAAGTTATAAAGTGTAGTGCTGCATGTACTTTTGGAAAAAACTACAATATAAGCAACACCTCGGTGTGCACGCACGCCTTTCCCGAGTCCAAAGAGCGACTATAACCGAGCCTTCAGGGCAGAAGCTCGCTCTCAGAAATATCGTCCGTGTTTCCAGGACTCATTTCCACCGAGGATTAAATTCTGTGGTTCAGACTGACTAGGAAGTAAGAAGCGGGTTTTGAAGAAAATAGGTTGGGAACCGCTGGTCTAGTCTACTGATTACATATTTTTGCTTGACCATGTGCTGCCTCATTACCGCAGTGTAACGTTTTATATCACTTTGTTTCAGTTATCTTTTCACAGAATAATGTCACAAAATTCAGTACGTCTAGTGTTAAAAAAACATTTGAAAATAAATTAAAAAACAATAATTTGGGTATCAGTACTTGTAATTGCATTTTAATTTAACAGCAGACATTTTATCAGCTAAGTTGCTAAACGTGCATTTAAAAAACTAATTCTTTGGTCTGTGATAAATTTCAAAACTCYTCCATCTTCACTTTTTTGTTTAGTTTGTTGACGGCACAATGGATCCTGGGGTATCGTCGGCTGTGTAGGATGTAGATGCAGCCTACATTTTGGGGGGGTTTGTCAGCCACATTTGTCGGCAGTATGTGGGGGCACCTATGAATTGGAGCAGCCTATGATGTGGTAAAGTGATGTAAGCAGCCAACAAATGTACCCTACATTGGCTGCAACCCCTAAATTGAGGCTCAGCAGTGTCTGGGTCAGTTTCTGCAACTCTAATAGAAGTACTCCTCATCAAAAATGAACTCATTAGTGTAGATTACATTTTAGCTTCTTTCTTTTAATCATTGTGATAATTGTTTATGATGTTGTGATGTGTGTTGTTGTTTTTATGGGGGGCATCAAACAGATTATGTAAACAAAATTTCCATTTTTGTATGGACAATAAAGTTTTATCTTATCTTATCTTATCTTGTCTAACTTATCATAACAGGCGAGTAAGCCTTACTTAAATTTGTAAATTAACTCCTGCTGCTGTTTTCAATACATAAGGTGATTACAGACAGGAATGTGTTATTCAGGATTTTTGAAATGGTCACCTAMTGCGTAATTACAAATAAAAAACAACTATTCATTAGACATAAAAAAGAGCAGAGACTGAATCTCCCAGCAGCTGGTCAAAAGCTCTTTCAAACTGGGCCCTTGTGTTTTTGTTTGCCGTAAGTGCGTGTTATTGTTGTGTGCTTGTTTCACTCCTGGAATGATAACAGTGAAATGTTAGGATGTTTTCCAGTTCAGCTTTTAGACTCCCACCTACTRACAGGAAAACAAACCATGGGGGGAGCAGGAGACGCTGCAAATGTGGGGAAAGAAAAATGGAACCACACCACACCTTGAAGTGTGCCGGTGTGGTGTTCATTCTGCTTTCCAGATTCTTTGGACTCAGGAAGTAGAATTTATGAGCGTCGTCTGAACATTTTGATTTGTATCAATCAACAGTGTTGTTGTTACCTGGTCACAAAAATGTTGGGAAGCTGAGCAGCACGATGAGTCCAAGACTGCTGTTTGGCTTTCCACTTATTCACTGCAGAGGCATGAATACACCAGCGCCATCTGCTGGTGTGAGTTAATACACATCACCAAGAAGATTCTTTGACARGAGGATCTTTTCTGCATTTTTCTGTCTGTGTTCTTATCAATCTTTTGCTCTTTTCTTAGTTGTTCAGAAGATGGACAATGTGACAGAAGGGATGCAGAATTATGGAGGAAAGATCATTTCTGTGGAAGCAGACTTAAAGAAACTAGGTAATCCTGTTTAAAGCAAGTTTACATCAATTAAAAATACGTGTCTTTTTACTTACTGACACAATTTTTTTTGCAATTCATATTTTTAGATGATCAGGCAGGACAGAAGTCAGTCAATGCAACCAGTGAAATCAACATGTTCAAATCGAAGCTGGAAGCATTGCAAAGCCAACTGAAAGACATAAACGTCAGAGCAACCAGCAACAGAGAAACACTGAATGAACTTYTAGTCACAGGAGGCGATGTGCAGAATGGCCATGTCTCCCTGCAAAGAGTTCTGGAAGATAACGCAGCCTCCCTGCGTGGAGTCAATCAGTCGCTGGCCTCCTACAGTGGGATGATTGACAGCCTCCAGACGGACACAACGCAGCTCCAGTCTGAGTTACAGGACCACGTCAAAGTGCAGAGCGAGACCCAAGTTAGCATCGGTGCACTTAATATCACCCAGAACCAGCAGCGCAATCTGCTCGGCACGCTGCAGAAGACGGTTGAAGACACAAGCCTGGCGGTACAGAGGCTGAAAAATGACTATCAGGTCCTACAGCAGACAGCCAGACAGACACGTACCGACACAGAGTGGCTAAAAGAAAAGGTCCAGAACCTTCAGGTCTTGGCAGCCAATAATTCAGCCCTGGCCAGGTCCAATGGAGACACGTTGGATGATTTAGGAACTCAGCTCAGCACTTTAGCTAGCCAAATCCGGAACACCTCAGCGCTCACTGAAGGCCATGACCAGAGTGTGCGTGAGTTGATGGACCACCAGAGGGACCATGATAATGCCACCTCGGTAAAATTTGATGAAATGGAAGCTAGGCTGGACAGGCACGAAAACGACATGGACCGTGTGACTGGAAACATGAGCTTTGCCGCTCAGATTTTAGGTGTCATCAGCTCCGACCTGAATGGCCTTAGATCCTGTGCTGAAACTGTTATGAGCCATTCGGATCTGTTAGCAGGACTGAATGCCAGCATGGAAGAAGTCAAGACAGACAGTAAAGAGCTCCGTGCCCAGCAGGATGAGCTAACGTCCAAACTGGACCAAGAGGTGAATAACCTGTCCATGGTGATGAATGAGATGAAGCTGGTGGACAGCAAGCACTCGCAGCTCATCACAAACTTCACCATTCTGCAGGGTGAGACCAAAACACTTGAAACGTATGCTTWCCAAAGTAGTACAGATGGCATTTTTTAAATATTTGTTTCTGAATAACTCACATATCGAAATCTATTAGATTTTTGCTCCTCAAGAATCAAAAGAAACCACAATAGTGAACTCTGTGAGACTTTTGAACACGCCTATGGGGTGCCATTTGTAAAGTTACACAGTCAAAAATTACACCAATATTTTTGTTTTATTTAGCCTTTTATAAGAAAAAAAGAACAGATTTATTTTTCAAAGTCAGTTTTTCACCATATGATTCATACATTTATTAATGTCATTGTTTATAAACTAAATATTTAACTTACAAATCAAATATTTAATTAACAAGCTAAATATTTAACTTGTGACTTAAATATTTAGTTTTGAGCTAATGTTTAGCTTGCAACTTAAATATTTAGGTAGCTAGCTAAATATTTAAGTTGCAACCTAAATATTTAGGTAGCTAGCTAAATATTTAAGTAAAAAATTTAGATGTCTAGCTAAATATTGCTAAATATTTAGCTAAAAACTAAATATTTAAGTCACAAGTTAAATATTTAGCTTGTTCACTAAATATTTAATTTGTAAGTTAAATACTTAGATTATAAACTATGACATTTATAAATRTATGAATCATATGGTGAAAAACTGACTTTGAAAAATAAATCTGTTCTTTTTTTCTTATAAACGGCTAAATAAAACAAAAATATTGGTGGTAATTTTTGATTGTGTAACTTTACAAACAGCACCCCATACACACCTAACACAAATCTGCTGGTGTCACACCAACATTTTACATTTTGTCACAAAATCTACTCACGACTCTTTTGTGTTTGGCTCAGGTCCACCAGGTCCAAAAGGCTCCAAAGGTGACAGAGGTCCTCAGGGACCAATGGGTCAGTCTGGACAAAAGGGTAGTAAAGGAGACAGAGGTATGCCAGGAGTGGCAGGACATAAAGGAGAAAGAGGTGCTCCTGGGCCACCTGGCATYGAAGGTCCAAAAGGTCAGACGGGGGCTTTGGGGGATCCAGGACCTAAAGGACCTAGAGGGCCTGGAGGCCGAGCTGGAAATCCTGGTGAGAAAGGTGACCCTGGGGCTCCTGGAATTTCTGGTAGGGATGGAGTACCAGGAATTCCAGGTCCACAAGGGCCACAGGGGCCCAGAGGAGCAGCAGGACCTGCAGGTGTCGAGGGACCTCGTGGGCCGGTTGGGCCCATTGGCCCTCGTGGTCCTCCAGGTCTTCCTGGGCTGCCAGCACCAAGGCCACCTGTAATTGTAAATCCACCTCAGCCTCCACAGGTCCTCAAACCAACTCCACCAAAAGTAGGCCCAGTGCCCACAGAGAAAACACAAAGTTCTGTGTCCAAGCAGGTTCAACTCCCACCTGCTGTCACTACCCCAACTCCCGGTGAGTTCAGGCCCAACAAAACTGTATGAGATTTGTCAGGACTTTTCTGTTTGTATCTTTCAAATCTCAACTAATTCAAACTGCATTAAGAGTGAGTTTCCTTCTGCTTCAAGGTTCTGGTTTTTAATTCTTCCAGGTTGTCCATCAAAGTTCAAAAAGTTTAAGAACAGCTGCTACTACTTCTCCTCTGGCTCTCAGAGACTCAGCTTTAACGAGGCAAACAAGTTTTGTAGCAACATGTCGTCTCACATGCTCATAATCAATGACGAAGAGGAACAGGTGAAATTACTCATGAATTTTAAGCATTTAGGCAAATTATTTATTCATGAATTATCTTGAAAATGTTTATTTCTCTGTTCTTGTAGCAATTTGTGAGGACAGTGATTGCAGGAAAAGGCTACTTTTGGCTGGGGCTCACTGACAAGGAGAAGGAAAATGTCTGGAAGTGGGTGGATGGAACCATGCCAGTTTTCACGTAAGTTATTAATTTCTAAATGTGCTTTATTGAAGTTAAACTTGATTTTATTATTTTTTCAAATCTGGTTTTGAAAATGAAACTGATCAAACTGTTGTCTTTAGACAATGGAAGCCAGGGCAGCCTGATAATTGGACTCATGGTCATGAAGATGGCGAGGACTGTGCGGGCCTCATTCATAATGCCAACTGGAATGATTTCTACTGCACTGACCGCATTGGTTTCATCTGTGAACGCGCCTCAGACTGTTAGTATTGTGTAAAAGCAATCTTTTTTTTGAAAGCATCTACTTCTGCTTATTTCTCTGGTCGATAAGCTCTGGTTATTGTCATTTATTTAAATCTAATTTGATACAATTTTTGTCTCAAGGATGAGTATGAAAAAAGGCCTTAGAGACAACCACCAGTTGGCTATTAGAGATGCCTACTGACTACTAAAAGGCAAATTTGTTCAGGTCATGTGTTCACTTTTTGGTACAAAAAAAATGTGTAGCCCAAATACTGAAAATGTATTTCAACAAATAACTGTAAAAGGTAAACTTGCATACTCTTTTGCTGTATGAATCAAAATAAATGTTTACGTTTTTAATTTAGCAAGTTGACTATTAGAAACAAGTCTCTTGTTTTATGACTAAAAAATGAAAGAGCTTCACAGCACATTTGTGAGAATGAATAAGGGATTTCTGAGGATCAATGTGAATTAAATCTTAACAGAAAATCTGATCTTTCACCAGCACTAATCTAAAAGTTAGTTCCACTAGCCCTAAAGCACTAACTCAAATGTTTAGGTCCCCTAATTCTAAAACACTAACACACTGAAAAAAATTTAGCAAAAGCTAATTTTAAAGCACTAAAATAAACCAGCCAACCCATAAACATTCTTCAACAGACAACCTGAGTCACATATTGCCATGTTTCTCTCTGAAGACATCATTGACATTCCACAGCTGGATTTGGGTTCATAATGTGTCACTTGGTGGATAAATGACACATATATGAACAAAATGTTTGACAGTTTTCACCCTCAGCTGTTAACATTAACATTGATCAAGAACATTTAAAGACCTCAGTTAGTGCTTCTAAATTTAGCAAGTGCTAATCCGCTAAAAAATTCTAAAATAAGCAAAAGCCCTAAAGCACTAATCAGGAAATTAGTTCCCCTKTTAGTGCTTACTGTGCCCACCACTGCTAAAACACATTTTTGCTTTTCCTGTAGAGATAAAATCTGAACAATTAAAATATGTACACTGCAACTATTGCTGCAAATCTGTAAATCTATGATAAATATGTTTGTGTTTCTCTTCTCCCAGTGGCAGTTCCAGTTTTATAGCATCCAGCCAAGAAAAGTGGAAATGAAGATGCAGCATAGGTGAACGCCGAGGAGAAGGCTTTACACGACTAAAAGACTCAACTAAAAGTCTGCTCAATCAGGCATCATTGACACTTGGACTTGTTTTGTCTTCAGAGGGACCTCAAAACTTGGKATGGTGCCAAAGGCAGAGCAGAAGCAGAGCCGTCCCATTGTTGTGCTGAACATGGGCTCAAAGGCTTAACCAGATCATTATTTGGTTCAGACACTTTTGTACATATATATCTGTAAATAGTACTCTTAAAAGCTAAGACAAATGTTTAAAATTCATACTTTTTAAGTTTCTGAGTGTTTTAATCATTTTAACACATTCACAATAATAAAGAAACACAATAAATCATTAAAACAAAGCTGTTTCAGATGAATACATGACTATTTGCTGGCTATTTGCTAATATACTGTAAGTTATAAATGCTTCACATTTCATAAACGACTCCACAGTTTCAAAATGTTAAATATCTTCAAAAAAATAATAATTATAGAGCACTTAAAAGCCCTCTCCAAATGATTGCAACTTTGGGGGTGAAAAAAAAAGTTTGCCATAAAAAAATGACACATTGAGTTGCTCTTGTGAGCAGTGCTGTTCTGTCATAAATTCTCAGTTTGTAGTCTGCCTATGTTAATATGTTACAAACATTTTAATTGCAGCATTTGGATTTATTATTTAATGATTTAGTCATAATGATAAGTACAAAACTGTCAGTAAGTACTGATTGATTGACATTTGCTGTATGTATTTCTTAGGGGCTCAGTATGCTATTTGTTTTTATGGCTGATTGTTTTCCATTAAGCTCATATAAACCAGAACTGGATCTGTGGAAATAAAATGGAAAAACTGCTCTGTTTGGACTCTGATTGTTAATAATAGCCTAGGCCTACTACTACTAATAAGAATAGATCACCATTTTCTGAGTAACTTGAGAGCGTCATTTTTAAGTGTCACATGACCGCCGTCACCTGATGATGACATGTTTTTTTCCCCCTTTAGTCGGAAAAAAAATTGTAGCTTATGAATGATTGAAATAGTTTGTCTAACTTACGTCGTCTTCAGACGAGAATTTGACCTTTAGAGTTAAGTTATTTACCGGTGTCATACGTTCGTTCGACTCCAGATTATCCGCTTCTATTACCCAGCATGCTTCGCTTGTTGCCGTCTGATGAGAAGGAGTGACTGTGTAGAAAAGAGTCGGCTAGCTCCATTTGACACTCACCTACTTATTGTTACTATGCATTTTGATCGCGTGGAGTAAGAATAAGAGGCAAAATAATAATATCTGGAGAAGGCGAAGTCTGTTGTTGACGACTCTCCAAGCGATGCCTCTCTTCACGACCAACCCCTTTGACCAAGATGTTGGTGAGTAATCAGAGCTGCTAGCAGCGATGCTAACATAAAGTAGCTGTGATCAGGCAGCTTTGTTTGTGTTTTCGGAGCCTTTCAGTCTCTCACTAATTAACGTCCTATTAGCTCGAATGTAGCAGGATGTATTTTGGGGGTCCTAAGATGTTCTTTTATTTATATGTTAGCTWTAAAAATCGGTGGGAGACAGACATGTTGTCTACGGCTAACTGTTGTGTCAAGCTTTATGCCTCATTAGCTTTGCCTACTCTGTTTGTTAATCAGTCTGAAATCACACAAGTTGTGGAAGTGAAAGAGGAAACGTGTGTTATATGAAACCATAAAGAGATGTTGTGTTTCCTGTGTGGTTAACCACATCATTAGCATGAACAGTTTACAGAGGTGGACACAAAGTACACAAACATCTAACAGCACCAAGCTAACGCACCACAATTATTATGATAATTTAAAAGCTTAATTTGTTTAAAGTTGCTTTTAGTCAACTATTGYTTTGCTTGTTCCAAATCGAAATATCTAATTGATATTTATTCATTGTATTTAGTTTAGTATCGTTCTGAATGTTGTTTGAAGAAAAATGCTAATAAGAACCTGACTTACTGCACTACGACGGAGAATTAGGGCCACACAGTGAGATTTTTTAAATAATTATTACGAGATTAAAGTCGTAATTGTATGAGAATAAAGTCATACTACGAGATTAAAGTAATAATTTTACGAGAATAAAGTCGTAATATTACGAGGGAAAAAAAGTCATAATCATGACGTGTCTGTTTCCCGTTCCTCATTTTCTCCTTATTTTCCCCACACCTGTTGTGTACAGTCATGTCTCTGTGTTTATAAAGTAGTAAATGATGACTCGGGTCACTGTTAGATTAATAAGCTTTCATCCAAATTAACTACGTGAYGACTAAATCTGTCAATGCATCCATTAATTACTATACAGCTTCAGTTTATAGTCGTTTGCACAATTTCCAAGTCCTGTTACTGATAATTTAATGCTAATGTGCTAAAAGATTAACTATTTATTTACAGCAACACTAAAAACAACTTGACAWCTTGCTCAACATTCCTCATTTTAATGCAGTGATAAGCATGCTTTTTCATGTAAAGGTACAATATTATGACTTTTTTCTCGTAGTATTATGACTTAAACTTGTAATATTACGACTTTAACCTCGTAATATTATGACTTTATTTTTATACAACTTTAATGTTGTAATATGACGACTTTATTCTCGTAATTGAAATAAAATAAAATAATCTCGTTGTGTGGCCCTAATACTCCGTCATACTGCACAGGTTATTTCTCAAAATTTAAATTTGCATGCTACAGTTTTCTGTTAAATGTTTGAAAAACGCTTAACATTTACTATTGTGCCACTAGATTTTAAAACACATTTGCTATACTGTGATGCATATCTGTCATGCACATACAGTAGCTTGGAACGCTCTGTGTTGTCTTTTTAATTATTATTTTCTAAAGCTTAATTTGTCTGGATATTTGTTGCCTGTTGTGATTTGTTGTCAAATACAGGATTTTAAAATGTGATGTATTGAAGATTTCTCTTTAAACTGAGTGGTTTTTTCTTCTTTCCTTACAGAGAAAGCAACCAGTGAGATGAACACAGCTGAGGACTGGGGCCTCATCCTGGACATATGTGATAAGATAGGACAGTCCCGCACTGGGTATGGCAGCCCTCTACTATTTTTAAATATCACCCATACATATTTATTTAAGTTTGACATGTTTAAACATGTCAGTAGTAGTTGAAAACCTGTCTGCAAAAATCACTCTAAAAGTTAATGATTAAACAAAGCTGGATTGTTCTTTAGCTTGAAGTTCCTTTCTTGAAACCCACTGGGTTCTCTGCTCTTGTGTTCTAGGCCAAAAGAATGTCTCCGCTCTATAATGAGAAGAGTGAACCACAAGGATCCCCACGTAGCCATGCAGGCACTGACCGTAAGCAGACTGAAAACAAAAAACAAACAGACATGTTGTGTATACAGTTTGGCCCGGAAATATTTGGAGGGCTGATACAACGTTTGTTGTTTTTAGCTGTTTACAAAAACACAATTAAATTACAGGGAATATCTGCCTAAAGTGCAGACTCTCAACTTTAATTGGAGGCTGTACACATCCAGGTTGGAGGAAGATGTTTTGAATGAAGCTATTATATCTCCCTACATCAACATAAAACTATCTTTAAAAAAATCACTCAAAAGTTGTTTGTATGTTTCTATGTCTTCAGTAAACACACACCTGTACAAGGTTGTCTTCATTGACGATGTCTAACATTGAAAACCGCCTTTCCAGAAGGCAGACACGTTAATGTTAACGTCTAATATGAGAACAATGTTTTATGAGAGCAGACACAGAGAGTTTGCAACAAAATTCAACCTTTCAGAAACCCCTGAGACAGAAATGCCAAACCAGATTTTGCCCAGTAAACCACTTTAAAAGTCAGATCAGTTTTGAAACGTTGTTCTTTGGATGGGCTAAGCTATAATCAGTCTGCACTGAGATTGCCTCTAGCTGCTCATAATTCAAAGAAAACAACATTACTCCTAACACCTGGGGACAGAGTGGTAGAATAGCACATGACATTCTACATTTACACAACCTAAAACAAAATAAAAGCACATCATCGCCTTACAAATACAATATAGAGTGGTTAAAAAAACAGCTGAAACAGCCATGTTTTAGACTAGATCAAATATACTTTGTTCGAACAGCATAAAAACCAAACGTGACGTCAACAACCTCCATGTAGAACTCATGACTTCAAGGCTATTAGTTAAAGAGTAATTTATATCTTTGTCCTTACAGCTTCTTGGCGCTTGTGTCTCAAACTGTGGGAAAATTTTTCACTTGGAGGTGTGCTCCAGGGAGTTTGCCAGTGAAGTCAGTAACGTCTTAAACAAGGTATGTAGCCATTTTTGTTTTAGATCGTCGTGCAACACATATTTGTTTCTAGAAAGGGTTGTGATTTAGCGTTTTTTGTCTGAATCCAGGGTCACCCAAAAGTGTGCGAGAAGCTGAAGGCCCTGATGGTGGAGTGGGCCGAGGACTTCCGCAATGACCCTCAGCTCAGTCTGATCTCTGCAATGATCAAGAATTTACGCGAACAAGGTGTCACCTTCCCTGCAGTGGGTTCCCAGGTAGGTTTATCTCCAACTGCTGTAGGTGCATCAATTTTTTTTTTACTGTGCGTTTAATTCCGTCTGATTTCTACATTTACAATTCAATGTATTTAAATTTTCTCCTTCTTATTGTTCATCACTTTCGTAACGATGTCCTGATTTTTAAATGTGCTTTATAAATAAATTCGACTCGACTTGTAATTTGAACTATTGTCAGACAAATGTGTTGCAAAATCAGCATTTCTGTTTCTCAAAGTCACACGTGTGAGCTTTGCCTGTCTGTCTTTATCTTCTCACAGGCTGCAGAGCAAGCGAAAGCAAGCCCAGCATTAGTGGCGAAGGATCCTTCAACCTCCACAAACAAAAAAGAAGAAGAAGACTTGGCCAAAGGTAAAGAGGCTTCAAGCGAATGATCAAACATGAGGTAGTGTCTGCAAATGACCGAGCTGCTCACAGAAGAGCTCCAGTTAGACGTGACTGTAGATATGGAGTTAAACCCCTATGTTTAGTCTTTTTATTCATTCTGTATTTGCTTTTATTATTCAAACTAAACTAGTAAGTTACAGATCTTAAAACMGTTACAGACAAAACACAAAATTAGTCATGTTTGTCCCTGCTCTATGCAGCTATTGAGTTGTCGCTGAAGGAGCAACGTCAGCAGCTGCCGACCTCCTTGTCGAGCCTTTACCCGAGCACATCCAGCCTGCTTCCTACACACAAGTCAGACGGCAGAAAAGTGCGCGCCATCTATGACTTCGAGGCTGCCGAGGACAACGAGCTCACCTTTAAGTCGGGCGAAATCATCACCATTCTTGACGACAGGTGAACTTGTACACTAATATGTATGAGGAGGAAGTTTCAAATAATGGTTAAAAAACGTAACCTGAAAATGAGTCACGTATCGTATCCTGTCCTAGATATCATATATCTTATCATATCATATATCAATGTCAAACATATCAGTGTCACATCACTTGATTTAACCATTCTGATTCTGTTCCTGTATAATTAAAAATACCTCCACAAATGTAACAAGAGAATCTTTATTTCCTGCAAAAATGCAGTGTGAATGTTTAATGGTGTGAGATTTCTTATATAGCCTAAAAAGTCTGAATTTATCCACAAAAAAAAGCTTAAAAAGTAGCTGAAATTAGCACAAAGGACAAAAAAGAACATGTTTGTTGAATTAAGCAGTAAGAAGCTGAAATTATCACAAAAAGATGATTTTAGCTGAAAAAAGCCCACCTAGCTAAAAGCTAAAATTAGAGAAAGCAGCTCAATGAAACCTTCAAAGCTTAAGATAGCAGAAAGAAACTGAAAGAAACACAGCAAAGTTTAAATTAGCAGAAACTGTCAGAATGATGGATAAAAAAGCAGAAAAAATTCTAAAATGAGCAAAATAGAAGCTGACATTAGTATACAGGAGTTAAAAAGCAAAACAAAAGGTAAAAATTATAGTAAAGATTTCTGAACATTTAAAAAGGTTTTCAGGAGGTCAAAGACGGCTCAATTCATTTTCAATGAGTAAAAAATGACAGAAAAAGCTAAATATCTCAAAAAATATAAATTGCTGAAATACCAAAAGTCACAACTGGAATGTCCTAAAGGCGCTGAATGTTTTMATAAATAAATTGTTGACAAATTGTACAAATGGCGAAATGAGATGCATGCCAAAAAACGAGTGGAAGAAAAGAAAATTCTCTCAGTTGTGTGAATGTTTTATAAGCATTCACACAATCAAATGCAATCATGTTGTAGACCTTCTTTTTCATTTCAAATGTTTGTGTTTAACTCAGTCAGCTGCTCGGTTTACCTGATGCTGCAACAGTTCCTGGTTTACTTTCTGCTATTTTGTTTGTCTCTTAGTGACCCCAACTGGTGGAAAGGAGAAACATACCAGGGTGTCGGGTTGTTCCCATCCAACTTCGTCACTGCTGATCTCACAGCAGAGCCAGAGATGAGTGCGTACACCTTGAACCCATTTAGACATGAGCAAGTTAACCTTGTGGAGCTTAGAATGGAATAAACTTTACCKTGAATTCTATTCATGTAATTAGTTTATCTTAACCAGTTTTGCACGTGTCACTGATTGACTATATTTTCTTTGTTTATCTGCTGCCACATCTGCTGTTTCTTGGAACTCTGCAGTGAAGACAGAGAAGAAGACTGTACAGTTTAGTGAGGAAATCCAGGTGGAGACCATTGAGCCTGAACAGGAACCTGTATATATAGACGAGGTAAATGCTGCTTCTGTTACCAGAACAAAGCTCTTTTATTAATGCTGTCATGCATTGATAAGGTTTCAAATAGTTTATTTGCTTGTGTAATTAATGAAATCAAGTATTGACAAACACAGTCTGTTTTTTCTTGTTTTAGAACAATAATTGGGTAAAAAGCTTCTCTCTGGATGATGTAATTAACTCATCTCATATACAGTACCTGTTTTACTGACCCCTTTAGGACAAAATGGACCAGTTACTGCAGATGATCCAAAGTGCWGATCCAACAGACAACCAGTCAGACAGTATTGAGTTACTGCAGCTGGAAGGTAAACTGAAYTCAGTATATAAATAAAATCTACATAAATCTAGAAAGTTACAAATACGAACTGTTAGTTTAGCAATGACATAAACAACATTTTTTTTGTCTTTATCAGGTGCCTGTAATCAGATGGGACCCCTGATTGACCAGAAGTTGGAGGATATCGACAGGTAAATTTGTGGTGGTGGGACAGTTTTAAACTGAAAATAAAGTATATTAAGGATGTAAAGATCAGTATAATTGTCTATCATATGTAGTTAAATACACTTACTGGGTGTTTGGGTCTGTGTTCTCAGGAAGCACTCCGAGCTGTCAGAGCTGAATGTGAAGGTGATGGAGGCTTTGTCTTTGTACGCAAAGTTGATGAATGAAGATCCAGTTTATGCCATGTATGCCAAGTTGCAGAGCCAGCAGTACTACATGCAGCAGCCTGCCAGTGCGGCGCAGCAGGTGCATGATTTTTAGCACGTTAAATCCTGATGCTTGACTTCAAATTATGACAGAAGTGCCACTTTAATCTACAGTGGCCCTGCGGCTAATAAAGTGCCTGTGTGTGTATGTGTGTGCGTGTTTATGGCTGCAGGTCTACCCTGGTCAGCCTACATCGGGTTCATATGCCATGAGCAGTCCTGCGGTTCAAGGTTATGCTGTCCCTGTGGAGCAGCTCTCTGCTGGAACTCTGCCTGCTCAGCCAGCTCCCGGGTTAGTTTAACATTCTCCTATTTCTTAGTTTCCTATCGCACTAAAATATAATAAATATTTCTTATTGTCAAAGTTTAAGTTTGTCATAACCTTCCTAATTTGGTTTTCTGTTTTTGGTGTTTCCTTATTAACTGTAATTGAATTTTGCTCTGCAGTTTTCCTGAAACTAATAATTTTTGAGTGTAGTCACAATGTGCTTTATTAAACAAATTAAATCTTGAGGTAGTTAAAATGAGGCCTCCAAAAGGCTGTTACAGTGAGTTAGATGGACATTTCTGAAAGCGTTCTTTCTGCTCCGAATTGATCTAGAAGTAACCAGCTGTAGGTCTCGGTGGTAAAAAGGGCACAGAATAAGCCAGTAAATCACAGATGAAGTTATGAGTAAGGTCATTTAAAGCCCCAAAAGTGAGCAATAAAGTGCAGTGATGATGACAGCAACTAAATAACTCCATAACTCAAATTTAGTGCAGTCACAGTTTCTTTCTTTGCTTTAGTTCTTACATGTGGAGTTCGTTCCACCACAGATTGTCAGTAAATAAGAACAGAGCTGTCAGAACTTTATAACTTCATGCCCCACTCCCAGTCTAATTGTATTGTATTAAGTACTTTATCGGTATTCTCCACAGTGACGCCCACATGTACATGGGCCAGCCGCCGGTTTACACCGCAGCGCCCGGCTCCATGGCCCCAGTAGACGTTCAGTCCTACCCGAATCCAGCCAGCGCCGCAGGCCCCGCGCCGTGCCCGACACCCGCAGGCATGACGCAGACACCAAACTACAGCACCCCCTCCGCCACGAGCTTAGCACCTCCCTCAGACGCCCCGCAAGCCCCCTACTCAGAAAAGGCCTTACTATAGGGCATCCAGACTTCTCCTACAGTAAAGAAACAACATCAGAACCACACTCAGTTTAATAATTCTCCTTTTTTTTAATTATTTTGAGGCAACGGATGATTGAAAATTTGCAAACAGTAGGTTAACACTGGCATTCGGTGCACTTTGTGTTTTTATTTGGCAGATCTACACATTTACTTCTGTCTGAAGGTTAAAATGGTTTATGATGTTTCAACTTGAAGTCTTGAGAAATAGTCTTACTTTATACAGAATTATGTTTGCACCTTTCGACTCCTTATGCTTTTCTTACTCAGACATCAAGACATGCAAAAAAACACAACCTGGATTTTACATGATTTGTACTAAACAAAGGTTTAACAGCCGTGCTAAAGAAAAATTATTTAGATGTTTTTCTCATATTGAATGATACTTACTTGAGGACTGAATCAGCATATAATTTAGATTAACAATTTCTGGAGTATTCTTTTGTTAGAATTGGTACAAAATTCTTATTCTAAGAGTTTATCTTAATGATTAAAGCTGCGGCAGTCCTGTTTTAACACAAAGCCATCTGAAGGAGTGAACAAGCATAGTTTGCTATACAACCCAATTTTTTTTCTTCAATCRTGTCAACAGACTTTCCTGCACACCACCGTTAATACACACACTGAAGCAACACACACGTTGGACACTACAGATGAACAAATATGGCTGCACTACTGGCTTCCCACTAAAATAAATCCACATTGTGCCACAGTCATTTCATGCTCTAAAACCAACTGCATTGCTAATTATGCTACAAAAGAGGTGCAGAGTTTTGTTTACTCTTTTATTGTAATTAAATAAATTAAAAAACAGGTCAGTTATGAACTTTACTGCTATCTTTTACACATCGTTAACTTTGAGTACTGAGAACTGAAGCCACTTTGTTTTTTTTCTGGAGGGAAAAGAAACGTCACTTTTGTAAATAACTGTACTAAAGTAGTGATGTCACATCATGACCTCAGAAGGTGGGCTGTATGTTGGTACAGCCTTAGGTGTCCTCCTGCAATCAGTGCATGCCCCCGATCAGCTAAAAATGTAATTATCCACACATATCTTTAAAAAAAGAAGCTTTTATTTCTGCTTCTTTTTTCATTCTGCAAAAACTCCACCTGTKTGTTTTTTCATCATGTTTAAAATGCAGCTGTCTATCAGGGCTGTACCAACATACTGTATGCACCATGAACTTGGCTCTAAGGGGAAAACTCTGTCATCCCCAGTGTCTTTAAACATCTCTTTTATCATTGTTAGTGGGGTTTTTTTGTGTGTAGGTCATTCTAATTTATAATTATTATATTTTAAATAAGGTTTTGCGGGATGTATGTATTCAAAGAGCAGTGTGCGATATTCTGCCTAACTTAGTTGTATATTTAAATTGCCATGTTTATTGTACTGTAGAACGGACTGAATCCCAACTTTTTTTTCCCTCAGAACTGTGATAACACTAAAACAGAACTGAAAATGGCTGCTATGATTGTGGTCAGCATATGTGTAAAAAAAGGCAAATTTAAAAACTCTAATCTTGTTTTTATAACCTGAAGTAACATCTGAAGTATCAGGTAGCCTCGTCTCATCCTACATATGATGTTGCACTTAGTGGATTTCTGGTTCTGAGTATTTTTCATTATTTGTAGAGAGTTTTGGAGACAAATAAATTGATCTTAAAAAAAGATAGGATTGCAATAAGTTACTGAAATGAAGAAATAAAACTGGTGTATATATTATTGAAGGACGCTTCATGAAGGAATTAAAAAGGAATTGATTTTGCAGCCAGGGCAATTCTCAGTGCTCATCTGACAGAACTGTCTTATTGTTTGTTCTTCAMTTATCTTGTTTCAAATGTGTTGCATCTTGTCAWCCCTGTGCCGCCTTAAGAATATGAYGCCTCCTAAGTTGAGCTTGGTATTTGGGGTTTTCTAAAACTTGCTTTAATCATTAATGTAGTCGAGTCAAAGCTGGTCAGTTATTATTTTGCTGCCTTCAATTTAAAGCAAGAAAGTAGTAATATGTTCATTCAAAGAGGGTCAAAAAGCAGTAGCTACTACTGGACAGTCAGACATGGGGGTTTTCTAATCATGATCCAAATGAAACATAACGCACCACTGTGTTGGACTGCAGCCCCGGTGTAACTTTTTCTTTCTGTACAAGATTGAGATGCTGCCTGTTTTTAAGTTTTAAGCCAACGTTATTGTAAAAGTTCTGTCTACAACTTGTACACTGCTGTTTCTATGTATTCTTTTAACCAAATCTAATAGTTGGTATTCACAATAAAACCAGGCCAAGTGTACAGAGTAAAAATCGTGACTTTGTTTTGTGTTTGTTCATGATATATAACTTGTATTCTTTAGTTGTTTTTTTTTATTTTTATTATTAGTATGAGGCTACTTCCAGATAGAAAAAATAGAGAAATAACCAATAGGTAACCAGTTGTTCTCCTGCCGCAACAAATCACCTGTACAGTGAGAGAAACTCTTCCAGGTGAAYCACAGAAGCTTGTAGAAAGTTTCATTAAAAAATAGACCAACTTTTAATTTATTTAGGCATTTATTATATRGAAGTGCATTGGCAACCTATGGTAAATATTTGGTGTGTTTTGGAAAACGATATTAAATGGGGCATCAGATTTGTTGGAAAAGTTTTACTACTGGATGCTATAAATAATAGTGTTCCCTCTTAAAGGGGACATATGCAAAATGCACTTTTTTAGCAGCTAAATGCATTTTGTTGCACACTTAAAGTCTCTAGGAGTGCAAAAATTTGCTTTAGTCTCACCGTGTTCTGTAGATATCTATAGGCTTTTTGTGTCATATTTTTCTACCCATTCAGTTCTATGACATTTTCTAAACTATTATGGAGCGGGGTGTGAAGCTCCTTGTTTGGATTTAAAGAGACAGCCTCAAAATGAATTGAACTGAAACACGCCTCAGAAAACGGGTGAAAGAGAGGCTTGTGGAGTTACAATGAGGAGGAATTCAAACCAAAGCACTGCAGTTCCATTTTATATAAACCCAAACTGAATGATTAAAATGTGAAAAAGAAGGATTGTTATTGTTTTTATTTAATGCTGAAGTGTTCTTTGTTTTCAGTGATGTTTTCCACCGTTCAACCTGTTCTTAGCGTCTCCTCTAGATGGAGATCTGTGTGTTTGTGTGAACACAGCTGCTGCAGGAAGGGAGATATACTGTGGAGCCACTGAGGTTTCTTTCTACATTTCTATTGCAATCCAACATCCTCCTAAAATGAAGTTGTATTTTGTATATGTAATTCAATGTGTTTTTGATATATATGCAAAACATTTGTTCAGACCGGCTGACTTCAGTGTAACAGGCCTATTTTCAGATCATGTTTGGATTAACTTTAAAATTATGAGATGGGATTGTTCTTCTTCCTTATGGCTGTAAAAAAAAAAAACACGAGTGTGACCACCTCATTAGCTCTGCAATAAAACAATACAGCCCACATTGCAGAGTAAGCAGTGTGCAGAGTCCACCACCCTAACTTGCTCACTTTGAGGGAGATGATTGWCAAAGTTTTCAGCTCTAAGCTCACAGCAGCCACCAGCGTTCAGGGATCATGCCCTCAGGGAAGACGGTTAAGTACATCCTGTATGAGGTGCTGCAGTTTGCAGCTCTCATTGTGCCCGTCTTAGTGATCACGGAGAGATTCGCCAGCCTCAAGAGTTACATGGATGGTCAGCAAAATATGACAACATACTGGCTTGTGGTGGCGGTCTCGATTGCCTACGTAACCTCTGTGACCCTGCTGGTGTGGGTTCCTCTCAAATATGTGATCCTGAAGCAGCGAAAGTTCATAACAGAGATCTCCCACTGGTGAGTTTAGTAAATTCCCTTTGATTTATTGGTTTGTATTAGGCTATGTAGCTAAGATGTAAAATAATTGCAATACAATTATTACCCTGTCTATATGGGGATGCCCTTGTACATACCAGGTATTCAGAGCATGCTTGATACCTACAGGGTACTAATAGGGATGCATACTGTTTATAGATCAGGCTGTATTATAAGAGAGTCTTTACAGAAAGTAGCAAAACTGTGGCAAAATGTCAAATTATTGGGGTATATAGTAAATTAAAGTGTTGAAATAAAGAATAATCTGCTAAAATTGCTAAAAATCATGTTTAAAACTGAACTTGGCAGTCATTTGTTTGTTTTTTTCCACATAATTTTTAAGCAAAATGTTTTTATAATGAAGAAGGAATGCAATATATATATANTAAACTTAGATTAAGTAAAAAAGAAAGCATTTGGTGGAAAAAAAATTTTTTCTTTACTAAATAAAAGTCTTATTTCAACACAAATGCAAATGTTTTAATGATGTGTCTTTTGTTTATCTACATCATTTTAAAATTATTTTTTCAAACACCATCACACTTATCAAAGTTGAATATTCATCTRTTTTAAGGGGGTCAAACTCCTTTTCACTGAGGGYCACATGAGCATTATGTGGGCCCTCAAAGGGATGCTTCATGTTTAAYTTTGTGATGTTTTTGTTTAGTCAATCTCCATCTCACTGCTACAGCTGAGCATTGCCAAGTGAGCTCTTCATGGTGTTTCATGCATAGAAACAGCATTTTAATGTCCTCTTATACTGTAAATGCTGAGAAGTACAACTGAATAAAACAAATCCAGAAACACTATTAAAAGCAAATGTAAGAGACTTTTACTCATCGTTGAGTTGTGGTCAATGGCTGCTGTGTTGAATTCAGAACTCTCCCACTTTCTAACAGGGAATTCACACTGAAGGAGTGTTCCAGTTTAAATTTATGACTTGAAAGGGGGAAATTCCCACTTTTCAATACAATTGGGCTGCACTTCCACCTAGTGGAGGGATACCGTCATTTCGAGGGTAAAGCAATCAACATGAATTATACATATGAAATATAGTTTATGGTCAGCGGTGGCTTTAAAACAGAGTATGCTTATTTTAAGACATTATTRCATCTTTGAAGCTCTCGCGGGTCCCAGAAAATGCTGTGGCGGGCCACATTTGGCCCATGGGTCTTGAGTTTGACACGTGATCTATTTGCTTGTCCTTACTCTATCTGTCTGCATTTGTATTGGTCAAAAATGCTACCGTGACTGCACATGAGAGATGGGGTAATCTGCCTGCTCCACCAGGACAAGTCTGACAGAAGTACATTCATGGAGCTTTTGGTCTTTGTTCCTGTGACAGATGAGCTGGGGCTACCAGAAAAAAATCATTCAAGAGAACCGACAAACCAACYTCTTTCTCAAAAAAGTGAATGAAATATAGGAATTTGATAAACAATACCCAAGGCAGAAATTAATGTACGACGGTAGGTTTCCATGGGAGGAACGCTTTTTTTTTAGGTTGTCATTCATGATGAGTGTGCAAATCCGAGTCTAAGGAACCAAATTTGTCTACTTTTATTTATGGTTCTGAAGACTAAAATTAACTTTTCCTAATTTCCCCACAGTCATGATTATCCKGCTCCTAAATGATTCATGCTGTAATCTTTGAGAAAGCATTAGTGCAGCACGACTTGCATATTACATCTGTGACACAGTGGTGGARGGAACATTTTCTTTATTATTCTTCAGATCAAAGGAGAACACAAGAGTCTGCATCCATATCCCTTTATGTCAAGACTGGATGTTTCAAGTTCAACAATGTGGAGTTCTCTGAGGAAATGGCTCTCTCTCATTTTCTTTTTAATCATCATGAAATATTCATGCGCTGACAGAAGCTTTGCATTAATTCATCTCCTTTTAAATTCCTACTAAGCATAGGTTATTGCTAACCATATTTTTAAATGTCTTTTGTTTTTGGTCCAGATGTGAATATTTATGGTTGTATCTGCTCAGAGACATTCATGCAACAAAAGGAAATTATAGACATTTTTCTGGGTGTAATCAAATATTTTATCAACACAGACCACAGAAAATAGCTTTGATTGTCCATTAATGTTTTTTTTTTATTGTGCCAGAAGCCTATCATGTTGAGACAGATTTATTGTCTTCAGTGGAAGATAAACTGAACCATTATAAAAACTTGTACCAACTCACATTCTACAGAAGAACCTCCACCACACAGAGGATCACAACTATTGCTGGTCATAAATCTCAACATTCTAACTCAGGACAGGAAATTTGAGTAAAACCTCTCATCTTGTCACAACACGAGGAGAGCTAATCCTGACCACCAGGCTATTTACAGATCAATCACGCCCCMCTCCATTTGACAGCGACTCTCTCCTTCAGCAGCAGCACCCTCCTCCAGTAAGACAGAGGGTCGTTCCCACAAATCCTGTTCACGGCTCAAAGACTGTCACAAAAACTTGGAGGTGTTTATGGCCTCAAAGCTTCCCAAATTCTAATCTAACAGGATCTGAGCATGTGGGAAGCAAATCCAATCTGGAGGGATTCCACCCTAATCTTCACAAGAACAGAGTGATTTATTTTTATTATCTCAACGCCACACAACCCACGACACAAAAGAGATGTTCTTTGTCCTAAATATCTGAATTAAATATAAGTGAAAGGCAGTTTAAATCAAAAGCAACACATAAATCATTATTTCCTCTAAAGCAGGGTAAAGTCAATGAAACAAACTTTTTTTGTGTAATTTATTTTGCATATACWGATGATGCGTCCCATTTGTTGCATAATAGCATACATCTCACAAAATAAATAAATAAAAAGTTAAGGAAGCAGAATAACTATAAAACATCTTAACCAAGGAAAATAGCCAGCATCAACCCTTTGTTCAGCTAAAATAATTATACAAACCAATATGAACACATATAAACACACACACACACACACACACACACACACACACACACACACATATATATATATATATATATATATTAGTTTGATAAACTCCAGTTTAGATTAACGGTGACATCACTATTTTGCTTCAGTCAATTATGGTAATATTAAACATTTACTTATATTCACACAAGGCATCTGTTCATTAAGTAAAACAATTTACGGCACAAAAGACACTAAGTGAACTAAATTTTAATATCTACACTTTCTTCTGTTATCTCAAAATGACCAGATTAAAAAAGCAATACATCATGTTCAAATGGTCATTAATAGATGGATTTATTTGTTTTTCAGGAGACCGACAGCGCTGGCGTATCTCATCCTGTGTACATTACCGTGTTTTGCCATTCTAATAGCCGGCTCCAAGGTAATATCATTGAGACTGATCTTGTCGTAGAGGTTCACCGATTGTTGTTCCGTTCTGTCACGCTCCAGCTGGATCCTTGAAGAGGCACATATTTGTTCTTAACAGCCCATGTGTGGCTCAYATTTGTTTTACGGCTCCGCTGGCGTATAAAAAAGGAAAGTCTGTAGTTATTGAGCATCAGTACAGCTCAACCACAAATATTTTAAAAATGCTCCCCTTGTTTCTTGAGCTTTTTGATACCAAAGTACATTATGTATAATCAATTTATCTGGGGGGGGACTCTTCTTCATGTTCAAAATCACAAGTAATCAGTTGTTTACATCAAAACTAAATATCACAGGGTCAAACTGGGACAATTTTAGTAGCCCAGTGAATTTGCCACAAGATCTTCCTGCCTCTAATTTCTGTAAAACGTATGAKTTTGTTGGATCAATATATTCTCCACAGATTCAGCTGGGTTTGCTGCAGGTTTTACACAAAGGATATGTCTTACCTTTTATTAAAGTCTTTGTAACAATGCCACACTGTAATTTTTTTTCTAAAATGTGCTACAAATTATGCTGYATTTGCCTCTTAACTGTATCGAGTCAAAGAGCTGTTTTTCTCTCCTTACACTGAAACGGACTTCAGCACCATTATAATTAAAGGAAGAATCTGTGAAATTGCCGTCACGAGACTTTGCTGCCTGATTTAGACACTCAGTAACTGACAGTGGTCAAGCCAGGTTGGCTATTAACTCTAACTTTACTCTAACAGAAAAAAAATACTTTTACCAACACGTTACACTGTGTTTTCTGTCATTTTACTATGAGAAAAAACAAAGTAATTTGATTGCAAAGACAAACTTATACTTTTATTTCCTGGATCTCATTTTAGCCAAAATACTTTCACTACTTTATTGACCCCAGAGGGAAATTAGATGTTGTAACTCATTCAACTAAAGTGTTATTGTAGATGGTGGTGGCTGTGAGCAGGAAAGATCTTCTGTAGCKGTCTGTTTTACAATGAAAGTGAAGAAGCCTCCGACTGAAGACATTGTTTTTCTACAACAGTCTAATGAAGAGGATGGTCAGGGTTGTCCACAATGTTCTTGATTTTCTGTAAAATCCTTCTTTGCACCATCATTTCCAGAGGTTCCACAGTCATCCCCAGAACGGAACCAGACTTCTTTATCAGGTATCAATTAAATCGAATAAAACTTGAATTGTTGAAACTCAGTGATATGATGAACAATTTGTCTTTCTTCCTGTTCACTATGACCAAGTTAAACACCTAAACATCTAGCTGAACATGTGCTTCGTTTCTGCAACAAAGTTAAGAACAACAAAAGCTAACCCCTGAACATAAAAGAGAAATGTAACTGAACAGGGTTTTTATACCATTCAGCACATAAAGAGCTTTTATACACCTTCTTGGTGCAACAGGTTAATGTCTGATCTGTCTGTTGATGAACTACAGGACCAGGTAGATGACTACCATTTCTCTGAGCTGCCGGTCTCCTTGGTGCTCTTCTCGCTCATCTGTGTGGATGTCATTGAGAGGATACGATCTCGCAGGCTCACAGGCAAATGTAAGGCTCGAACTTGTCAATAAAATTAATTATTTGCTTGTGCTCTGCAGAAATGCACCTAACTTTTTACCTGTTGATCTAAAACCCTATGCTTTTGTACCATTTTATTTAACTGTTATGTTACTTTGCGTTATTTTTTGAGCAGTAGTTTTTCATGGGCCTGACCTACATCCTCAACTCTGCTGCTCAACAAACACACACACACAAACACACACACACACACACACACACACACACACACACACACACACACA